GGAAAGAATGAGAAACACAAGGGAAAACAATGATTACATTGATATAACTATAATATGAAGTAACATACAACTAAAACAACAGTTGGATAGCTATTCCCTACTTTATTGGTTAGGATTTTTAATTGCATAATGCAAACTGTTGATTTTCAAAATAAAATAAAAAACGTTCATGCCCCGCATTCCAATGCTGGAGCAGAAAAGCTTGAAATACCTACCAAAACACTTGAATAAAGACATACTGTCAGTATGGAAATGCTCTGTGCAGGTGTTAATCAAGTTAAATCCCAACAGCCAATCAGCAAGAAATGCTCTGTGCAGGTGGAAATGCTCTGTGCGGGTGTTAATCAAGTTAAATCCCAACAGCCAATCAGCAAGAAGTATAGAGGAAAGCTGCATGCCTATTGGTTGATGCCCTGCATTCCATTGTGATGACTCATGCCCAGACGTGGTAAACAAGGCATACTAACACAGTAATACATTTGCTATAACACAGCCAAAAAACTCAAATAAAACCATTCTAAAAGCCTGTATCACAAAAATTTAAAAAACGCCTAGGGGTATTTGCCCACTGTACCTCCATACCAAATTTCAGGACCTTAGGCCCTAAAATGAAGAAGCTGAATCCATTTAAAGATATGGCAGGAGGAGAAGGAGAAGGAGGAGAAGGAGGAGAAGAAACATCAGAAAAAGCAATATGGGTTCACCACCACTTCGTGGTGTGGTGAACCCATAATAAATATGGTTTCCCGAACATTACTGAACTCCATCCAACCATGGTTAGGAGTAGGTGGGCAGCAAGGTCGGCTGGTGTCTGGTCGGATACTGCTCGGTTGCGCCAACAGGATGATTCAAACTGATAAAAACATTCTTGTGTCAATGGGAGGTTCGGCCATGGTTGGCTGGTGGTTGGAAGGTGTTCGGGAGTGGGTCAGTAGGTTAACAGTGGTCATCCCCGTTCGGGCACGGCGTAATGGGTTGCATACGGCCTTTCAGATGGGGACATAACATCTGGTCGTCCTCTTTACATTTACAACAAGAAATCGACGACTCACAGGGCCTTGAAGTATTAAGAGTTCTTTTATTTGTTGTTTTATTCATTATTGTTTACTTCTCACCGATTCTGTGCATACATCACTTCCATTTTCCACCATCCTGAGGTGAGATCATTTTGATCTTTACTTCGAGCTTCCTGTCAGTCTGCGGTTATACAATTCTCCACACCTCAATTCTTGTGACTCAAATAACTATGGGCACACAAGCAAACACTAACCGAAACCAGAACCAAGTACATGAAAGTAATAATTCATACAAAAACGTAATGATATTGAACCTTTATTTGCATGTTCCTGCCCATGGGGCTAAATGCATACATCAGAGTGTGATGTTACATGTACATCATACTGAGTAACATGATACATAGGATACAAGAATAACAGAATAACAAAAAAAAGTCTTAACAACTACTAGAGAATAAACTAATCTAGGTCTTGAAGATTTCTCTATTTCTAAAGCAATTGGAGATAAATGCAAATAGTTTTTCTATTGTGTGGTCATTACTGGTGGACATGAGATGACTAAATACCTCTTTCTTTGTTCTACCTTTATACAGTTTGTCTAAGTGGATTGTTCTGAATAGTGTGCCACGTTTAATATCACAATTTACAATCAAGTACAAAATGTATTTTATCTTCTACGCTACTATGAATAATTCATACACACGCGTAATAATTCATACACAAACAAAATAACGCTTACTCAAACGTGATAATCCCGACACAAACGTGTGATTACAGGACATGTCGCAGGCGTTCCTCCGGGCGGAAGACTGTAACGTGTTCGGTGTGGACTGGGGCAGCGGCGGGGGGTCCATGCTGCCGTACACACAGGCCACCGCCAACACTCAGCTGGTCGGGGCAACCATCGCGCAGTTCATTAACCTGCTCATGGTAACGGAGTGTACTCATAACTGTAGAAGCTACTCTGTTTATGGCCTTGATGTGATACAGTAACAGGATACAGGTAACAACTGTCTGGAAAAACTTCTACTTCTACTACTACGCTAGCTATTATGGAGTTCGACTTCTTCTTTGAAGGCAGTGGATAATGAATAGTCCCACATTCTACATAATTAGTGGGTTTTGTGATCTTAGTAGAAATGCAGTTTTTTGGTGATCTTCTAAATGACGCAATGATGGAGAAATTGTTGTAACTGTCTGAAATAATCTGTTTCTTTCGGTCTCATAGTGAGGACACTGGCTAACAAAATGTATTTCATGTTCCACTGCATTCATTGGACAATATTTATCTCTCGTGCACAGGTAGTTTTCTATAGTGACTCATCCTGACGGCCCATTACAATTAGCAATTAGTTCAACCAATAACAGTTCAATCCATTTAGAGAGTGGCTGCATGTATATGTCCATCTAATTTTGTATTTCTTCGTTTTGGTTGAAGTGAGCGGGGTTAGGATCGGCGTGAAGCCCTTTCCTTTTGTATCTTATTGCATTATAGGAGACACAAGCACTCTGGGTTTTGCAGAAAAACAAATCTTTATTGTGATGTGTTGTATTATTTTTCCTCAGGCATTACGGTGTTTGTAGTGTGTGCAAATGCTAATGCTATTGCCTTCTTATTCGGGAAATGAAACTTTAAAAGAATGTTATATATAGCCTAGGCCTTACAGACATCTCTGTCAGTAGGCGCTGATGGTGTTGTAGTTGTGACGTAAGTTTTCCTCTTCACTTCAGCAAGAGACTGGAGCTTCTCTCAACTCCTTCCACCTGGTTGGTCACAGCCTTGGGTCACATATTATGGGATATGCTGGAGAGAGACTTCCTGGTGTTGGCAGAATTACGGGTCGGTAGTGATATGGTATTTCTATTAGGTTTTGCTGTTCCATTTTATGTTAAAATTCCGAGCGCGGAAGTGTTGTTGTGTTAGTGTATTTGCCTGCCCTCATAGCGCCAGTTGCATGGTGGGTGGGAGGTGATGTCGACGGTTAATTGGCAGGGAGATCAGCCTTGAAGCCCAGCACGCGTCAATTGGGAGTAAGTGGGTGGTATGTGGTATGAATTCAGGAAGTGTATATGTTGCGTAATGCCTGATTAAATGTCATACAACCTCCTGCAAAGTTCTAATACATTCACGAAATCCTCAAAACATTTCTTAGAGGTCTGTGAACTAGATGCCATGAAAACCCCACATTCCTCTAGGAAACCTGGAAAGAAAAAGATTTCTTTGGTTTGGTGTCTCTTTATTACCTCCGGGGAAGGAGACATCCTTCCGCGGAAGGGTTTTGTGAGATTTTCACGTTCGCAGCTGTTTCTCGCGTTTTGGTGGACGGATTCTTTTGAGACTCGGTATATGTTTTGCTATTGGGCTGCAGATGATGCACATTCTTTTGTCTTTATTTTATATGTGTTTTCGGGTGTTAAAATGGTGCCTTTTGGTGGCCCCAGAACACCCCTCTGAGCGTGAAAGTGGTCGCGACCGTTGACATTTGGCGTGTATTAGGTATTTTCGGTCTCGTCCACGAAGGTGACCCAGAGGGGTGTCCGGTCGTGATTAATTCTTTGTTTAAAACCCTAGTCCTGCGGCGTGCAACAATTGTTGTTGTAAACAACGTATAAAAATATACAAAAGCCCGGAGGTATAAAATCTCAGATTTTACTTGTTCCTACAATGATTTCAATCTGTTCCTAACGTCGTTCAGGACTGGACCCAGCCGAGCCGTACTTCCAAGGCACAGATCCCATCGTCCGTCTGGACCCGACTGACGCTCAGCTTGTTGACGTCATCCATAGTGACGGAGGGTTCTTCTTCACATCCTTGGGTGAGACTGGGTCGCAAGTAACCTTACCTTGTGCTCAAGACAGTCAAATTGGCTGGGCAGTATCCCTTTGCCATCCTAAGGTTTTGGTAATTAAAAAAATATATCAGTCCTACACCTCTGCTTGCAGAATAATGCTCAAAGTAAAGAGATATGTATTTTGGAGACGATGATGTTTTGGCATTTGAAGTGGCCTATCGTAAAAAAAAGCTGACTCGGAGGTGGATACATTTGTGGTGGTGGTTTTGCTAAGTTCGCCACACATGTTCGTAGGTAAATTGTGTAGAGTTAGATTTTTCTTGTACATTATATTTACAGTGTATTGGTACAATGTACCTTTCTTTTATCTAATTTATATATTTATATATGCTTTGAGTCATCTGAAAGGAGCTGTAATAGTTCGTGTTTTTATCCGTTTTTAGGTCTCGGGATGTATGACCCCGTCGGCCATCTTGATTTTTACCCTAACGGTGGGATCGAAATGCCCGGATGTGACCAGGGTCTCTTTGATTTCATTGCTCTCAACGGTGGGATTTACGAAGGTCAGATAATATCTCTTTATATTTTGAAGTAGCATAACTTTCAAAATACCTTCTGTAGATTTCATCCAAAGTGTTTTCTACTATACCTGGAAATTTTTTACAATCTAATGATTGCAAATTTGCAAATTATTGATTGAATTTGATTGAATTTGCAAATTATTTTGACACTTGGTGTTTGTTTTCCTATTGATTTTAGATTTTACAGAATATGTAAATATTGTACAGGAAATGTGGTGGAGGATGAAATGCACTTTATTTGTCACTGCCCTCATTATAGTGCCGATAGAGATAAATTATTTGAAATGGTCACCAAAATGTTCCCCAGATTTACTCACCTTCCCAGCCTACAAAAAGCTGAATTTCTATTAAAGTAACATCTCCCAATTCATATATCTCGCAAAATGTCGGCCATTTCATACTCCACTGCACACGGAAAAGAAATCAAACGCAACAATAACTACAAAGGTATATCTAAGTATCATTAGCATTACTTATTTTCATTTTTACTGTTTATTGTTGTTATCATGTTCTTGCAATTAGCCCTCGGGCATGGATTTGAAATACACTCTCTATTGATTTCAGGGGGCCGAGAGTTTGTCGCCTGTAACCACTTGAAGGCGATCGAGTACTTTGACGATTCCATCGGTACCACGTGCCCTATGATGGGGTATCCATGCCGGGATAACGACAGGTCTGTACTGTATATTCCATCATTCCGCCAGGCTTCCTCTCCTTAGATCATGCATGGCACATGACACATATGTATTGTACAAGTGTATACCTTTGTTATCAATCTTTAAGCAGAATTCGTTAGATATTACAACAACTGTTGCAACTAAATTATAACCGGTGTAACCACGATACAGATACTCGGTACACAGCCAATTCTCCCTGAACCTACTTTTGGGTAACATCTTGTTCACTATACTCATGCGTGGATATTCCAGAAATTTCTTTGAAATTGTTAGAATTCCCTCAGACTACTTACTATTTTATTATAGCTCCTGAGGCGTCGCCAAAAAAAAGTTAAAAAAATACATGTATCTGCAAGAAGACTGGCAATGAAAACATACATTGCCATGGCGACGGTGGTTGCTGTTAGGGTTATTGTTTGCATGGCACTGCCATCATTTCATGATTTTGAGGAAGACTTGGTACCTGTTAAGTCTAGACAGATACAGTGCACTCCTCCCCTGAGTGTATAGTGAACGAGCCCCGGGGTCACAGAAAGTAGGGCCATCCGAGGCAGAAAGGTGTTCCCAAGGTTTGCCAGAAATTTGGGCGTAGATGTGGGTCAGAGACATGCCTGTGGACATTCCATTCCTGTGGACAAAATGCCTGTACCATTCCTAGAATTCTTGCAAACTGCACACAATACTGTACCATTAGGCTCCCCCCTGAGACGTCACCAAATTACGTTTTACTTTGCAGGTTCCAAGATGGCCACTGTATGGACTGTGGCAGCCAGGGGTGTGCCCAGATGGGTTACCATGCCGACCGGTACGCCCCACCTGCAGGGGTCACTAACCTCAAGTACTACCTCAACACGGCTGAACGGTCACCGCACTGTGGTCAGTTGCCTTGAAGGACAATGTTTTAAACTAGAAACCAATATATAATATAAGTTCACACAACTTCACCGTTCAAATTCCTTGTTCGAAATCTTTTTACAGTGGCAGTTTCTTTCCCCGTACGGCCAAGCTTTGGAATTCCCTCCCTGACAAGTGTTTCCCACCAACCTACAATCTACAGGCTTTCAAATCAAACGTTCACCGCCATCTCTTGACATAGCCATGTTTCTCTCATATTTCTAGTTCAATGCCGAGAAGTGGTCGTATAGGCCTTGCATTGAACCACTCCGTTAAAAAAATATGTATGTAAACCAAAGCTTATATGTATTACATGTATACGTGTATATACGTATTTTAAACTACTATTAAATGTGAGTTTATGGTTAAGAAGTTCAATTTGTAGTTATCAATTAAAAACCATTCCTTCATATTTGGAGAGTTTAGATTGAACCTGGTTAACGTAAACAAAGAAAATGATAATATTATCCTAGTTTATTCTTACTCCAGTTTTATAATAGTTATCTACGGTGGCCCAGAAAGAAGAATGATTTAAAGTTGTCGGCACAATATGTCCTTGTGGGCCACCGTAGTTTTTTAGTGAAAGAACGATGCAGATATGTGACATGTCGTATTTTTGTGATGACAGTGTACCACTACCAGATCAAGTTGACCCTGGGAACGAGCTCCTCTGCAGACGACATGGACGGAACGCCGGAAATCTCCATCATCACAGAGAGCGGCTCGAACACAGGGTACCACAGCATGACTAGGTCTGTGTAGTTTGAACTTTTCTCGTTCTTCCGCCGCACCATCAGGGAATGGAACGGACTTGAGACTGGTTCGGCGGAGGCGGGGTTTCTCGCCCAGTTCAAATCTGAACCCTGCTGCATTGAGCCACCCCATCATGTCTTGTATATATGTAAACATTACTAACGCACTAATGCACTTGTCCCGTCTTTAGCACACACAAAATCAGTTGTTTTACGTTTTCTTCTCAGTTATCCTTGTTTTCCCTTTGTTTTTTATGTGCCGGGTCACAATTGTTACTTACAATGCGTAACGGCTGACAATAATCCTACACTGTAGGGCTGGGCAGTAACGGAGAAGAAGAACTTCTTAACCTCCGAAACGCTATGTACAAAGTACAATATATACATGTACCTAACACTGACTACATCACACTTCTAGTAACTTTTTCACTGCTCAGAAGTTTGATAACCAAAACATCTAAGTCAGAAAGATTGGTTTAGGCCACAGCAAGTAATTTGTATGGATGACATCAGCGCGCGCATTAATTTTCGCCTGATTTTGATTTTGGAAAAAAAAACAAGAAATTTTCTTGCCTTCTGACAGTGGTCACCATGCCTAAAATGGGCAAAGATGTCTGTTGCCATGCCGGAAGGTAAATGGCAGATAAATATGAAGAGAGGAGTCAAGAAAAGGATCTGATTTAATATTTTGTTTCTTACTTTGATGCAGTGATATGTGATGTTGGCTGTGTATATGTGATGTTTCCACTGAATCAAAACCACTTGTACAATGATTGAATCAAAATTTTGAAATGTAGGAACCTTGTTTTTTTCGGCCTGCCTTGTTTCTTTTTCACCCGCTCGCATTAGATTTGGAGTCTGCGGAGGATGTCATCAATAAAATTTACATGCTGTTGCCTTAGTAACAAATGAGGGGAGGAGGCGCATTTAGGCCCCGATAGCGAGAAGCTGTGTAACACATGATATACCGATCCAGTAACCCCGCCCACCTCCGTCACAACGTATGGATGTAACATGGCTACTCTCTTATTGGTCTAACCACGGATTGCTATGCTGTCATTGGCTGAACTGCTAATTGTGATGGACAGTCCGGACGGGTCTAATCAGGTCCATGTACTGTTTCAGTGGTTCCATCAGGCTCCAGGCAGGAAACACCTACCAGTACCTCCTGACCAGCCCCAGCGACTTCGGGACCATCCGTGAGGTCCGGTTCAGGTGGGATTACAACTGGTCCCTCCTCAACCCCGGCTCATGGCCCGTGTGGTTCACCCCCAAGATCTGGGTGGACAAGGTGCAGGTCGTGTCGGGAGAATCGCAGCAGAGGTAACATGGCTCCTTGCGTACTCGATCACATGCAAGATCTCGCGAGAACTATATTCTTTTACCCGTGACCTCGTTTATATTCTCGCGAGAACTACTTCGTCTTCCTTTGATCTCGTGCGCCATCTCGCGAGATCTCTCTTCTTACATATTCTAGAACCCATTTTTTGATATTTGGTGGACAGTTAGGAGTAACAAAGAGTCAGATCAACTTCGATAATGGGCCTCCTAGCAGCTAACTATGGTACTGCAGTGGAGCTTCAAAGTTTGAGGTCAATTTCTATGGAAGGGCCAGGTCCAGAATTTTTGACTAGTGGGAAGCTCTTGGGGCCCGGGATAAGCCATGGAATGTTGGGCCCCCTAGCAGGTTGTTCTGGAACTGCAGTGGCATTTGTTTAAAATATTCGAAAATGATAACTCAAAAATCGGTTGAAGAAGCGTCATGATTTTTATTAGGTAGGTAGCTGGGAAAGGTTTGACTCGTACGGGTTGTTGCACTGTAATAGCAAATTTAATAAAAATGTTTTACCAAAGTGTGACCTACTAATGCTATTGTCTCTCCAGGAGGACCTTCTGTGGGTTCAACTCGGAACTGACTGAAAACGTTGTTATGGGCCTGCCGTCCTGCTAGAGTCAACACCATAACAACACCACGTGACCCGGGGTCAACAAGACCAGGGTTCTGTCTGCTACAGGAACGATAAGCTACTGCCTGCTTCCAGTAAAGTCTATATATCCTGCAACCAGTCGCTCCGAACAAATTAAACGAAAAATAAATAGATTTATTATTTGCTCTTTCTTTTCAAACGTGTGAGCTTTCACCAATTAAACACTTTCCCAATTAAAATGCATCATATGGACTGACCCCCCCCCCCAAAAAAAAAATAGGCGTGAAATAGATGTTAGGACAGTTTTTCTTAGCGTACCAATACCAGCTAAAACCTAAAACACTGCCGTATTTTCTCTTTAGAAAATCCCTGTTACAACTTATATATTTCTCGCCTGTTTTGCGGGGTCATTTTTTAGCTGGGATAACTTCAATATATCTGCCGCACACCAAGGATTCTGAGTCCAGACGATGCACTTTGGGATTGAAGGACAGAGGTCAACAATGGATTGTCGGCAGTGGTGAATGTGCCCGGTGTCAAGCCATGTCCTGCTGAATACATGACTCCGACACTACTTGGCCCGGGGTTTCCAATATACCTGAGACAAGGGATGGGAGGGTTTAGTCAAGATTTAGGAGACTAAACCTAACCTAACCTCAATTGTAAGTCTAACCTGAACAATGATCCCAACTCTAACCTTAACCCTAACCCTAACTAAAACCCTAACCCTAGCCCTAAACACCTGACTTCTCACGTATGTGGCAGCTCAGGGATGTAGGGTACCAACTTATGCATGTCGCTGTTTCACGTCAAGTTTGCTAAACTCTGCATACACCCTACAGCTAGTGCCGTCATGAGCCGTTGGGTAAGAACACCATTAATGCAAATAGAGTATCAATAGTCGCACCTGTTGCTTGACCTTAACTCCCTACTATTTAAAGGCATCCAATGCAATTTCAGAGCGGCAAAACTTATAATATTGTGAATAAGGCAATCTGTGTGATATTGACACATACTGTCCCACATTTGCCCATTTGAATCAGTATTTCATACTTTTGGGCATTTAAAACTGTAGAAACAAGCCCAAAGCTGAGTCCTTTATTTTCTGGGCGGTACCCTAAAAATCATCCCCGGGTCCTTCCAGTAACTATTTTTAGTCAGAATTTTGAGCATTTTTGCTCCATGAATGTCGATATACATTGTGACAGTGTTGTTTTAACTTAGTATGTAGAGAAGTGGCTATAGTATTGACTTTGAAAAATCTGGTCTCCAAGCCCTAATAACTGCACTGGATGCCTTTAATGTCTGCTTGGCCAGAAAAGTTTCATATTGACTTTAGCTTAAGCATGAAACCCGTAAGTTGTGGAACGAAATGATGATGGGACAAGAAATAGGATTTTAGACTTCTGAGAATGGTAACCACGTGCACTGATCCCTGCTGGCTCCCGACCTGATGCTGAGACCTTGGCGTTCACTGTCTGACCCTTTGAGCTCCTGCTATTCTGCCTGTCAATGTTCCCCTCACCCACGAGTTATCAACTCATTTTGCCCGGTCAAACAGATACACAACCCCGATGTTCAGCCACCCAAACAATCCTGCCGTACCTTGAAAGTTCATCTGTGTTGGTAGAAACCATTATGAAGTTTAAACTATGATTTCGAACACAACAAATTGGACTCACCCAAATTTTCGACTGTACAACTCCAGTCTTTGTCAAGGAATGAGCAATCCACCGCCTCAACAGAGACGGTGGGCGCCATAGACTTTCGGCAACCTATGATCCACTGCTCACGGAGTAACGTGTGTCATCTGTGTGACGTCACGGAATCGGTGGATTGCTCATTCCTTGGAGACTGGAGTTGTACAGTCGAAAATTTGGGTCCAATTTGAGTCCAATTTGTTGTGTTGGAAATTACAGTATAAACTTGCTTCATAATACTGTCCTACCTTGAAGTAATAATATTGGAATATCATAACGAACGACATACAATAACAGACCACACTACTTGCTACTTCCAGATATATTTTTACTATCCACAAAGCGAAATGGTTGTCTCATATTTTGCCGCCCATGTTTCCATGCATATTTGACTGTGACATGGTGACTTTAACAGTTGCCGCCGACGTGGTTCAGTTGTAGAGTCTCGGCATCGTTGACGGGGGTGTCGCTGCCGCAGAACTTGTAGCTGAAAAAAGGGAATAAACCATTGAATAGCAATGATAATTCCGTAAATAATTTCATCAGGCTGGTAAAAGAGTGAAAAGCAAAGTTATTTCTATCACAACCATTTATTCTTCACTAGCCGACGTTTCGATGACCGTCTGTCATCTTCATCAGGGTAATACTGACTGGTTTACTGTGTACTGACACTAGATGTTACTTGGTGCATAGTGCATTAAAGGTGTTAAATAGTTCATAGTGCACTTAAGCTATTTTTTTCTGTTTATAATACATTCCAGAAGTTAGTGTAATTGTGACATGATGTAGTTTGTGGTGGTACCATTAACTTGTGTGGCTTGTGTTGAATGGGCAATAAATATCGGTGTGACATAATTGCACAAATGTGTTGAAAACTGGGAAGTATATTACACAAATATCCTTTTCAATTAAAATATTTCCTTTTTTATGCAAAAAATGTTACATATTTCCCCTTTAAAACGTTACTTAATGCCCCTTTAAGATTTCTTTCTTTACCTTGTCTGACTCTCCCCGGCTGTGATGGTCACCTTGCCGACGGTGTAGTACTGCGCGGCGAAGAAGTCCCAGATGCTGCTGGAGCGGACGAACCTGAGGTTGACTCTCGTGACGTGCCCGATGTTCATGGGGCTGCTCACCAGCTTCTGGTACGTCACGCCCGGCTTCAGGTCCATGATGTCACCGCTGTGGAGGAGACAGGCTCGTGTCATACAGTACAACCGTTAAAACAGATAGAACGGGGGTAAAAGGAGCGTTGATTGGCTTGCGTGGTAATTGTGTCATCCTGTAGCAACCCGGGACAGTGTTTCTAGTGCACAATAGAGCTCACGCCGCGTGTGTACGTTCTTCCTTGACCACATGCGGAGCAAAGGCCACTAGTACTGATGCCTCTCCTCCATCTACATTGACTGTGTGTCGCCTGTGCTTTCCCTCATGTATATAATCAGAATTAAGACATTACAGTCCTTTCCACGCTGTACATGTGTATAGGCCGGCGCCCATCTCCTTGGGCCACGCAACTGTGCAAGTAACGAACGATAGTAAAGTCGATTTTGTACAGTATTTTGACATGTAGTCTGAAACGCAACCTATCAGGCGAGAGTATCACCAGAAAGGAGAGCTAACGTGTTGAAGACTCACTCCGTGACCTCCATGGTGTCGGTGATCCCGCTCGGTCCCTGGAACGTGACGTACAGACGCCCGGCAGTCTCCTCCATACGGGTGGATGACGTCACTTGAACCTTGTAGTGGTAGGCTATGTAAAGTAACAAAATAAACAGTTTCTATATACATTACATAATAGAATGTAAACTATAGAATAGAATGTAAACTATAGAACAATATAGAACAATATTTTGTATTGTAATAATCATTGATCATAACAAAAATCATAATGATTCAAATCATTGGTCATAACAATAATCAATACTGAATAAAGGGTACAGAATTAAGCTGCAAGATTCTGTATGAACAACTATGAGAGAGGTGCCAGTGTCAACGAAATGAAAAGAAACCCACGGTGGGCCTCACTGGAAGACATAAGAAAAATGTCCAGACTATGCATGATGTACAAAATGACTAATAAACTGGTGGATGTCCCAACTACTAAGTACCTAATACTAGCCCAGAAGGGAACAAGAAATAGCCACGCCTTCAAGTACCAGAGTTATCAACCGAGGATTGAGGTGTCCAACAATTCATTCTTTCCTAGAACTATCGCAGAGTGGAATTCACTGTCACCAAGTACAGTAGGGGCATTGTCAATAGATAGCTTTAAACAATGTCTAGAGTTAGAAGTTCAAGGGTTAGATGTAACAAGTCGATCGGTGTAATAAAGCCAGCTGCCGCCGCGCCGCGTGCCTGTGAAGCTGGTGTGTTACGCCAAAGGGCGGTTATACCGGCTATACAGATACAGATACCTACCGCAGAACTTGCCGCCAGGCTGTGTCCCGTCTGTAGTAGTGAGGTACAGTTTCCCGCGGGTGCCGTAGTGGTCCCGGGCGCGGTAACCCATCTGCGAGCACGTGTTACCGGCACAACTCATGCAGAACCCGTCCTTGAACTTATCATAGCTAAAAATGATTGAGAAAACACTGCTTATTGTTTCGTGCCGTTACGTGTGTAACTACAGAGGTATTTACTTCTTGTGGCACAGTCACGTTTGTCGTTAGTCTTTTTACTACACCTGTCAGCTCCACTTGTTTCGGTCTCGGCAGTTAGGCCCTGTTCATGTGAAGTCAGTGAAGGCGCGCTTTACATGTGGTTTCTAACGAAGCCGGTTTCAAGTGGCTCCATCTGAACGCTCCAAATCACATTGAAAACGCCTCGATCCCAAACCACTTCTAGGTTTTCCCGCATCGCGATTTGCCTCTGAACGCAATGTGATTTCAATGTGACTTCACCCGGTCATGGATTACGGGGTGATATTTTTTTATTTATATGCAATACCAAAATTTACGTGGCAGCAACTTAAAGAGCAGTAATGGTCAAATAATGTGTCCGGGACCACGTCGGCATTCGGCCGAGATACGCTTGGAGGGGGGCACCAGCAAGCAGGTCGTTGACCCCTGATATTAATAACACGCCACCTTGCGTGTTTTCATCAAACAACAATAAATGTAGCTCAGGCGATCGGACACGGTTTGAAAGGAATGTGTGGCACGTGGACCAGATGTGAGGAATGCGTGTTACCCTAATCGCGGTTTGGGTGACTTCACATGAACAAGGCTTTACGCCAAAAAACAGTTACTCAAGCAACTGGATATGATTTTGAAAACGTCAGACGTTTCAGCTAGTATCCACTAGCTTTCGTCAGTCACTGACGAAAGCTAGTGGATACTAGCTGAAACGTCTGACGTTTTCAAAATCATATCCAGTTGCTTGAGTAACTGTTTTTTGGCGTATCGTATTACCTGGATGTCTAACCTTCATCCATCGACGTAACAAGGCTTTAGTTTGCGGTCGTCCGAATATGGTACAACGATTGTGACTAGGCGCTTTAAAACGGTTAAGTCGTTCATACGGCTTAAGCACAATTTGAAATGCAATTCGGTGTTGTTACTAGAAACATTTTAGCAGAAATGGCCCTGATTTCAACAATTTTTTAGGTATCAAACTAGGGGATGATTTTGATTTTAAGAAATAATTTGAACTAGATGCAGCGAACGTTTTAGAGGTGAAGATCACATTACTATAGAGCTTACAACAGATAGCTGGAGGGTAGGATAAAGGTCCTTAAAGTATTCTTAAACTTTCCCCGACGCAGTTTGGTCAGATGGAGGCCATGTCTACCCTACGATTCGAATTTGAGTTAAATTTGAGTCATATTTGACCCTCGAGCACGTCCCGAACACCGAAGACCTACTCCCGAACACACGCCAACCCCCAGCCAAACAATGGACGAAGCCGCCGTCCACACCCGAACGTTTTAAACATTGTGAAACATTCGGCTGGCGCAGCCGGACAGTAGCCGAGCTCGCCAAACGTTAGTGTTCGGGAGGTCATCTTCGGCTAATAGTTTTTTTTTTATTCCAACATTTCATGACTAGACATGCTGACGGCACACTCAAGTTATATCAACTTATTTTAGGCCGCCACCAACGCAGAGGACAAATACAGGACAAGACAAGTCGTGTAAAGTGCCTTTCCCAAGGGCACAAGATCGGTGGCATGTCAGGACTCGAACTCGGGACCTCAAGGTTCCGAGTCGAGCGCGCTGCCGCTACGCCACACGACTCCACTAAAGCTTTGGTCCCAATTGGAGAAAGGGGCCCTGCCGGGTAGTCCCCGGGCTTTTTTTGGGGGGGCGCTTTCGGGCGTGACCCGTACGTGGCCCCGCGGGACACCCTGTGGCTACCGGGCTATTTCTGGGCCCGGCGGGGACCCGAGAAGAATTTAATTCTGACTTAAATTCTACCCGGGCCCCGCCTACAAAAAGACGCCGTGACCTCATCGTGACAACACCGACAGGTACCCCTCCGGTTGCCGGCAGTCCACCGAGACTAATTTTGATACGTCACAGACCAGATACACACACTAAGGGTGTGTACTTCGTAAGACCGTGTCAAATGTGTGACGTCATTGATCAGATGATCACAACAAAAGCGTGAACTCTGTATTAAGTGGGTCAGTACAAGACATCGTCAGAGAAGCTGCCGGGTTCCTGCCGGGGACCTGTCGGAGACCGACCAATAAGGGTGACAAAATGCCACTGAAGGAAACGTTTAATTGTGACCACAACAACCGGTGCCCGCCAGGCTCCAGAGCCCGACGGGAGCCGGCTGGGGCTACATCTCCGACGGGCACCGGAGCAATTGGGACCAAAGCTTAAATGTTGCTTTACCTTTCGCAGGGGTAGGCCGTGAACGGACACTCGGAGTTGATGGACTCGGTGAAGTAGTCGATCGCCCTCAGGTGACTGCAAGCAGCTGCAGCTTCTGCACCTGCAATCACACACCATGGCCAGGTGGTCAGTTTTACTTTGCAGAACAAAGGTCACTAGTGGCCCAGGCCCAGAAGGCCCATTTTGAGTAACCATTCACGAGAATGTATACCCAGAATGCATAGCGAAAACAGGTGTCTAAACCTCATTTGCATAGGACAGGAACGCATCGGAATGATCCTGTTGACGTTAAACAGCTTGTTTTTAAGTGTGTTTTGAGGTGATTGTCAGGCAGAAGAACGTTACTTATAAAAGCCGGTAGGTAAGTAAAATGATTGAATTGATAGAGAAGGTTTAACTTTGACCTAAACCACAATATAGCAATGGAATAGATTTAGAATATAGGATATAGGATATACGGATAATGGAATATAGAATGCACATCCGCACCTGGAACCCTAAAGTGTATTTGTATCTATTGCTTATTTCAGCAAAGATATGAGCAATGCTGTTGTTATATTGAATTAAAGAAAAGTTGTATCTTACCATCGTATCCGTCAGTGAGCAGCCCAAAGCCTGTGGAGACCACACTGGAGACAATGCTGTCATGGCAGCCGGGCTGGTACTCGCCGCCGTTCGGGTAGAAGTCCACGTGTCCGGTGGGCAGGCTGGTGCCCATGCCGAGAGTCCCGATGAACGGCGAGCCGTCACTGTGGATCACGTCCACGAACAGGGCGTCGGTCGGGTCCAGCTTGACAATCGCGTCCATCCCGTCAAAGTACGGCTCAGAGGCGTCAAGAGCTGGAAACACGAGGCAAGCAGAGATTGCAGACACTGAAAACTTGTAACATTAGGACGATACATAGAGCTAATTTACTGATCATTGCAAATTAGTGTCATTCAGAAAGTGGAAGTAGCAAAATATTACATCGTACAAGTGTGAAATAAAATTTTAACAAAATATTTATAAACACACAACGAAAGTTCAGCTATGTTGGAGAGCTTTCGAGACGTCCTCTGTCTCTTCATCAACCCGATTAAGATCTCGTCTTGGAGTTCTCTTGTCACGTGACTTGATGTGATAATCACGTGACAAAAGCCAGTCATATACTTACAGGTTTCAGGTAGTGACGCCCCCTGTCCTTGTTTAAGGTACTACGTTGTCGCAGTAAAATAAAATAGTTCAATTTTTGCAAAATGTAACATAATGCCCCTATGAATGCTCTCGTACAGATCTTAGAATGATACAGTTAATTTTATAAACTTACCAGTGATACGTCCAACGCTGCCGAGGATGTCGCCCGCGTATCCGGCCACGTGACATCCCAGGCTGTGACCAATCAGGTGGAAGTCCCGTGCGTTTGCCCCGGTCTGTGCGCTCATGTAGTTCACCAGCTTCGCCACTTCTGCTCCCACCACCCGGCTGTTCGCCGTGGCCTGCCCGTACGACCCGACTATGGACGCTCCGTCAGCCCAGTCAACAGTCACCACATTGATGTCCTCCTATTAGGTCACACCAATTTAATTTCTTGGTTAACGGATTAATCTAGAAAAATAATGGAGCGGGCGGGCGAAAAAAATGAAAACAGTCCTAGGTATCCTATTATGGTCCAAATTGGTACGATAGGAGCCATGAAGTCAACACACCAAGCTGGTTCAAAATTTAAACAATGAATATTGAACTTCTAAAGATACCACTGCATTGAAAGATGGAATAACTGTAACAACTCGGAAGAAAAGGACTGTTTTCAACTGTTCGGGGAAAAATATGAGCATTTTGCAGTTGATTCTGAATTTTTTTTCAAATCAGAAAAA